ATAAGATGAAAACTCATTAGACCAATTAATTTTGCTAAGTTCTAAGTTTATTGTTTCATAGTCAGCCTTATAATAGTTAAGTTTTGTCACCTTTTTTGTATCATTTTTAATATAAATCGGAACTTTTGGCGAAAATACTAAGGCTGGGTGATATTTATCTGTTTTACGGATAGGATCGATACAATCTGTAACTTTTATTTCCTCAAAATCTGAGAATATTAAATCAAGCATTTTATTATTACAATTTTTTATACTGTTGAATTGTTTTAAATTATTTAGGGAAATAAAATTTAATAATTTATTTTTTAAGTTACTACTGTTACTTGTAGAAGCCATATACGAGCCATCGTTGCTGTCACGGATCCAATCTATACAACTCAAATTAAAGTCACCAATTATCAGTGTGTAACTATCACAATTTGAATCTATAACTGAATTGCAATTTTCTATAAAATTTTCTAAAATCTCTGCATTTACTGGTGGAGGAAGATAGGTACCACAAACTTTCAGCGACTTCAAAGTCGAATTCGAAGGAGTTTCAATGCTGACCCACAAGTCTTCGCAGTCACTCTCCCATTCTGACATGCGACATGACCTAAATTTATTGGACACAGCTATGAGCACGCCACCACCAGTTTTTTTTTGGGTGCTAAAACTAGAGGTCTCGCGGTCTCTTCTGTATACACTAAAATTATTACAAAAAATTTCAGCATCGAAAATACCACTACAAAGCCAAGTCTCAGTCAAGACATAGACATCGTATTCACTATTATGTATATGTTGACGCACCTCAGACAAACTGCTGCGCAGACCTCTTGTGTTTTGGTAATAACATTTAAAAAAAGTGAATTTTAAAGACAAATCAAGAGAACATGCTTATAACAAAAATAGAAAGTTTAATGTAATGAGTCCAGCCTCTCGTGGTTACTTATTAGGATACTATGAGAAGTTTCATCTTTTTTCAAGAAGATTCTTCCGTTACGAACCCACACGAATCTGTATCCCAGCTGCTTAGCGCGAGTACGAGCTGCTGCGTGTAGTGCTTTGTTTTCCGGTGACAGATGCTCAACAACAAATATCGGTGCAGGTATGTCGCTGGATATGCCGAGATGACTGGAGTTCAGTTTATCTTTGGAGTTGGTTTTATTAAACTGTTTAGAGGCTGCGAGGAACGTGTCTCTTAAACGAGGGCTGCTAAATTTAATGAGAACGGAGCGCGGACGTGGGCTCTGTGCATCCTTCTTGGCTATGCGTGTACAGAGCTGTATGTCAGTGTCCTTAACGTCGCAGTTTAGTACTTTGCCAAGCTGAAGAACGGTGTTAACTAAGTTCTCAGATCGGTGTTCGGGTATGCACTGTAACTCAATGTTGCTTGATCTGGCGTGCTGCTCCATTTTGTTGATACGGTTAGTAAGGTCGTTAAGGGATTTTTGCAAACTAAAATTATCTTTCTCAAGTTTGAGAAATTTAACGGATTTATCCTCAAGTTGACTCTTTATTTCATCGTATTTTTCGCCAAAAAAGGCTAGTGAGAGCTTGAAATCTGATACTAAATCGTTGATTTTTTTGTACTGCTTATCAACCAAATCCCTTATTGTATTCTGTATAGCGTGGCTAATTTCTTCTCTTATCAATTCTCTTAGACTGCTGTTAGAAATGTTAGTCAATAGTGTGTTATTCTCATCGGTATTAGAGGACCGCAGTTGAGGCGGTTTAGGGCGAAGAGTTACATTAGCCTTATCGCCAGAAGGGGACTGATTACAAGCGTTAGGACTATGTTGTTTGCTGGATCGAACAGGCGTATCGCTGTTGTCTAGTTTCGGTTGTTTGCTAACACAGCCTGGGCATTTCCACGCTCCTTTTGCATCAGCGTTCATTAATTTAAACTTTTTATCAGGTATATTTGCACATAATAAATCATACCATTGATTACAAAGAAAGCATCGCAATCCTTTCCCCCTAAGAGCACCCATACAACCACCACAATTTACTATTGACATTGTTTCTGCTTCCAAAAGTACCAAAAGCACCTTTATTTTAACTACAGGTTAACTGAATCTAAAGTTTGAGAAAAATTGATTAGGTAGGGTACTGTGCATATTGGGTATAAAACAGATGTAGTTAGGGGAATGCAAAACGGATGTACAAATCTCTATGCTCAAAGATATAGTAACTCATATAATAGTACATTACTGTAAAAATAGCAAATCTTATTGAGATATAACGCCTCAGAATTGTTTGATGCTGAGAAAAAATCCGTCTGTGTGATAACGAATTAAGAATACGGAGTGTCACCACCCCTATTCATCCCGTGGGTGTCGTAAGAGCCGGCTAAGGGAGTAAACTACGCAGGACAACAGCACTGCAAAGAGAAGTAAACTTGACACCAACCCTATATCAACCTTTTCTGCGTGGTATAGTAGGCCAAAACCTTCTTTACAAGGAGAGGCCTATATCCAGCAGTGGACTTTTAAAGGCTGTTGATGTGATGACGTGATGTGTGAGAAAAAATAATAGGTTCATTTTACACATTGTACTTAATTTGTCCTAATATTCAGTTTTAGTTTTATTATATTCCATTTTTATATCTTTCTATAATCTTCTTTCGTTATGCATCTTTTACTATAAATATTTGTTTTGTAGAAATACACTAGTTGTAGCGTAGATTAAACTTTGATTTACGTTATTTAAGAAAAGTTCGTACTTTGAGAAGAACGGGTAACATTTTAAATAAAGAATGTTGAAATTTATTTTTTAATAAATAATCTTTTACTGTTCGTTCATAGGCCGATTTGGAATTAACTTTCCAACAGTAGCTATCTAGAAATATTATATAACTATTTTGAATTCAATTATGATAGTCATCAGTTCAGTTTATAAAATAATAATAAAATAACATCACTACACTGTCACACTAAACTTTCGATAAACTGACAATATAATATTTTTACAATAGGATTTATTTTCTTACTATTTCGTAGAATTTATATCTCAAATGATTTCTTACGTAGTTGTATCATACACAATGTATACCATCAGATCATTGATACATATAGAAGAGTGGTAATTTTAAGATCATACCATTTATATTACAAATATTATACTTAGACGATAATTATATCTCTTTTTGAAAGTGAATATTGACTAAGAACCAAATTTTACATTTAAGTTTTAACATCTCTGCACCAAAGAGCATGTACTATGAACAGTCTTTTACAATTTACTTCGAAGTTTATAATACGTTTTGTATAATATTTTTACAACCATATATAATAATTAATTGATATTCTTTTGTTTAAAGTCAAATCTTGAGACAGTATAACAAAACGCTTAACAAGATAAAACTTAATTTCAAACTTTTATCTTTGGAGCTAGGATTTGTCCTAGCAATATCGCTAGTCTGCCCGTCGTTTTAGCAAAGTATAAAACCTTGTGCACATGATTTGTGAATGTAATAAGAGCGGAGACACTGAAAGTCCTTTTATGACGCTACCAGAATGCAACATGACCATTCTTATATTTCATACCGTGCGGTAAGACAGCTATAACACCTTTATCTCTGTTTAATAGTTCTCTTATAGTTTCAGTGAAATTTTTATTTGTTATTTGACAGTTTTAATTCAAAAACGCGTTCATAGATAATGTATAAGGTTTAAGGCCGTTTGCAATAATTGATATTCTGTACATAAATACTTATGATATCTTTACATTTACGTAACCTCTGAAATATTCAACAGTTTTTAAAAATTATTTGAAAATTAGTCGAAGTTATTGTTGTGATAATCATGGATCGTGATTTCTTGTATCGAAGAACATAACTGGATGAATTAGCTGACAGTTTGTAAAAAAAAGGTGAAACGCAAATTTCTAAATCTAAATATAACAAATAAGGATCTAAATGCAAAGTCAGTGATCATATAAATAGAAGTACATGGTTTAAAACAGCTATAGTACAGTACAATACAGTAATTTACAAACGTTCAGTAAACTGAAGCACTGTTTTTAAATGTAGTAGCAAAATATTGCTATTACAATTGAAAATATTGCCTCAGTTTATTGAACGTTTGTAAATATAAACTAGTGTTTTATTTTAAGGTGTTACGCTACTTAATATTTATGTTTACTTGTAAGAGAAGGAGTCTCTATCTACCACAGTTGAGTTGGGTAACTAAACAGTTGGTTAGAAACAAAGTTTGTAAACTATGTGACAGTTCACTTCAAAGTCATGTCGAGGGAAGGCTATAAAGGTCACCTGCGAACGAGGCACGAGATAAACAAGGGTCGCAAGCAGTTGGCTTACTTCTCTTCTACTATCTCACTTTCATTGCTCCTGTCAATATTTAAGATGTATACTGCTTTTTTCCTGAGAGGATTTTGTTTCTGATAAGTAGACTTAATTATTAGACTCGATCCGTGGGGTGACGGATTAAGAATTCAAAGTGTCACCACCCCTATTCATCCCGTGGGTGTCGTAAGAGCCAACTAAGGGAGCAAACTGTGCAAAACAACAGCACTGCAAAAAGAAGGAAAACTTGAAACAAACCCTATACCAACCCGTATGGCTAACGTGGTATAGTAGGCCAAAACCTCCAATTTAAGGAGAGGCCTATGTCCAGCAGTGGACTGTTGATGATTGATGAAGTAGACTTAATAGAGGATAAATCTATAATGTTTGTAGAAACTAAGGAAACCAACACATATCTGGTAGAAAAGTTCAGTTACAATTTAAACAGTAAAACTAATACTTTTAGTGCCAAATACGCAAAAGACGAAGATCGTAGACTTTATATTGAATATGGCAAAATAAAATTTCATAAAGAAAATAATGTACACTCGCAATGATTTTATAAAATTAAAAGAATATAAAATTAAATTACATCACATATCTAAAACATACCTAAACCGTATCACAGACCTAATCCTAGATAGTAAAAAAATATTCTAGAAAATAAATACTTAGCACGTTCCCTTTGATGCAGAGAGTACTATTAGTAATCAGGCTAAACGCAGCTTTCTCTTGCGTTCGCTAGAAGTGGCGTTCTTGTTGTGACGACTTCCCTCCGCCTTGAGAAGGTGCCGCTTGTCACACTCCGACGGTCATCTGCTAAGGTGCCGATACTCTGGTATAGAAAAGAAGATAAGAGTACAATTTCAATAAATAAAATAATTTAAATTCTTTTTTTCACAGTCTATCTTCTGTGACTGACAAATCTTAACACTGTAAAAGATTATTGCCAAAACAGTTTTGTTTTTCTTTGTTTCATTATATGGTCGTTTTATTTAAGTAATCATTAATTTAATTTCTTGTTCTGAGCCAAAGAAAAGAGAAGGTAAGTTCATTGCCAATATAAACAAGAAAGAGAAAATTTAAGTAAAACCAAAATAATTTACCAGTGATACTTATGGTAATTATAGTATCGGTAACATATGTCAATTAGACTTGAGAATCAGACCAAGTTTTGACCTGAAACTCATAATGTTTTCTTTTCTGTATAATAATCAAAATATTAATTTGAGAGACCTGATAGTTTTTCTTCAAATTTTCAAATAGTCTGTGCCTGTGGTGTGACAACCAGACAAAGATTTTTTTAGATAAGTTATACATTAACACAGGACAAATAATCATCCTTATTAAACAGTTTGCTTCTGAGGTGGTAATTGAACCCATAGCATAATGACATAGATCAAAATAAATCTATTCAAGTTTTAGTGACCTTGATTGTCTGAATAGATTACGAGAAATACCTACTTAAAAAAATTAAGGAGCTTATTTACTTGCCGTATATACTTACATGCGCATCAGATGCAGGCGTATTGGGAGTGTGGGGTGTCATGGGCCTCACATCATGATGTTGAAGGCTGTGGGAACTCCTTGAAGACCCAACTGGCGGAGATACTACTGACCCGTAAGGGGGCGGCTCTGGCGGGCGCTCTAAGTCACGTGCACTATTAAAATCTAAAAAGTAATGTTTCATTACATATCAAAGTACCTTTAGGCGAGGTCAGATAGTTCTGATATTTTAGCCTATCATAATATTAGTTCTGTCTGAATAACTCAGTAATATACATATCTCACAGTATATTGATTGTATTTGGTATGTAATTACTAAAATGGACTAAATGAGTATTAGAGGACATTCTTTGAAAATCATCTCAGTACAGTAACAGAACACAATGTGTTAAGATAGGTTCATCAATTAATAAGTGTAATTCCCTTAGTTACGGTGTTGCGGTAATTACGCTCTAGCTAGCCTGATACATTCTCTTCAGCCGAGTATGCTTTAAGGAGTGTGATGGTATGGCTCTCAATTAATCTTCTAACTCTTAACATAAATAAAACAGAGTACCTGGCCATCACAGCTACCGCCAGTACACAATTCAGAGACCCTAATTCAGAGACATTTATGTTAAAGGCTCACAATTGTCAACCTAATAGCAATGAATCTTGTAACTGTCCAGCCCTAGTTAGAATCGATAACATTAAATACCTCGGCATTATATTCGCCGCTTTTCTTCAAACTTTTCGCCTTTCTTAAAATACTTGTGTTTCAAAGGGTACTACGAAAACACAACACTCTAAAATTTGATCCAGAAAACCATAACACACACAGACCGTATAGAGTTTGTCCAACTGTCACTTTCAGAAGCGCACTTGCAAAGCGGCATTTTTATGTTATAACATCTTTACAAAACCATAAATAAGTACTGCAGTAATCTTTCATAATTCTAAATTAAAATCAAGTTAACTGGCTACACGAACAAGACTATGAACGAACGGAAACGCTGCTTAAACTTATATATCTATGACATTCACATACACACACAAACACACACACACACACACACACACCAATACATACCACACACTTACAACACATGCATGCACGCTCACAGGCAAGAATATTGGAATAATGTATAAAAATATAGAAAATACATCAGGAATGTTAGTTTCGCATGAGAGAGGGACAGGTACCAACAGCACATGTTTAATCGTACCGTGGGTACCAAAGCCTGGCTATACTGTGTAAGTAACCTAAGAAACTGCTGTTCTATTAGAAAATTTGTACTTGATTTGAGGGTAATATTTGTTGTTTGCCTGATGTCTGTTTATAACCATTTATAACTAATTATATGTGTTATTTAAAACAAACGAATTCAAAGATTTGACAAAATGGAAAATTAATTAGGCAAACAAAACACAAAGCAACCATTTTCGATTAACACATGTCTATACCTATATTACCTTTACCGAGTGGCACCACGTCAGGATTTTTATCGTCGGGCTGAGCCGGAGAATGGTTGGCGCTTTGTATCGTGCCTTTGTACGCCTTCGCCGTCTGCATAGGAGCTAAAATTAGAGTAAATATATTATACGGCAGTTCAAAATAGTTTGCTATACGAATAAAGTGCTTTAAATTACTACGAAAATACAGATAAGCTGAATGAAATACCTCCTTCACATCATCATATCAACTGCAGGACATGGGCCTCTCTTTTTTGAAAGGAAGTTTTGGCAAACTATACAACGCTGGCCAGACGAATTGGTATAGGGTTCGTATCAAGTTTTCCTTCTAAAGAATGATATACTCAAAATATTTAAATTTTGAACCATATCGTCATACCCGGAGTTTGTTTATTTAGAATCACCGATAGCTAGCAACGTTAGTTACATGCTAGTGGCATTCTTATTAGTTCCCGTCCCCCACCCTCCAGTTAAGCTAAATTCTTGTGTTAGTTCTATTCCACCGAATATTCTACCAACAGTGACGTGAACGTGTGTTCACGTATTCGGAGTATTCGGTTTAAACCGGTTAATCGTAATTCAGATGCTTTAGCCATTATGATTCGAGTTTTACATAATAATATACCGACATAATATATATTAATATAAAATATACAGATATATAAATACTTAGCCTTGTATAGGCAGTAAGTTTTAGTTTCAGTTATTTAAAAAGGGCTCAGGTCAACGAATGATCTAAAATTTACTGATAAAGATAGCCACACTTACGATGTTATTTAATAATTAAATTTATTCATGAACTTTAATGTAACTTAGAAGCCGCCAACAATAAAAAGAGACGTGTGAAATTAATCAAAAACATATTTTACTCATTTCCGAAAAAACTTTTTTTCTGTACTGAAATGAGTAATAGTGTAATGTCAATCTGAAATTTTGATTTGTTTAAATGATAGATAAAAGATCTCTTTGTTATTATGAAACCAATGTTTCTCCTTAAAATTTCACAAAAAAAAACACTATATATAACGTTATAAACGTGGTTAGATTTCCAAACAGCCAAAAGCTGTGCTGCTTAACAAAACTATTGTCACTGTTCAGAATATCATTGTATAAGAATTTTAGATACGGTGCATACTTTACACGAAAGTATATAACAATCAACTTGGAGTATGAGTTCCGTAAAGCCTGTTCGTTATTACCTCACTGACAGGCGCCTGTCTAGGTTGTGTCTCATAACGCTTGGAAATAGAAAAACACACTATCAAAAATCCGTGTTTTTCTAGCGCCTATTCAAAGGATTATTCGACGATTTAGCTATATCGAGAAATACAGCAGGCATAACCTTGTCCCGGGAGACTACTTCTTTGGTTAGAGCTTTAACGCGTATGTTCTCATCCGCGGTAAAGTACTCCCAGCGGACAAATTCCGTATCGTACTTAGTTTTCTTTAATCAACCGAAACCACAGCCAACTACTCTATACTCGTATAAATGTTTATTTCTAATACTATTAAAATAACAGAAGTTTAATCGATATCGATGATCGCGGTTGAAATAACGATACGATTGTCTGACACGACATTTACAACTCAGGTTCTAAATCCTCCTGGCACTGGCCTGGCACAAACAAATGTTTTTCTCGATATAGCTAAATGTTTTTATTGCACCATATTTCTAAAAGGCTATTATTTCTGTGAAAACGTTTGTTGCTTACAAACTTTTTTTGGGACGTAACTTTTCATGCTCGCGAATTTCAACAATAGCAGGCTTTTGTACTAAATCGTAAAAGAAAGAAAAAGTATACTTAAATCGTGATTACAAGTGGCTTTCAGAAATAAGAATACTAAATTAGTGCGGTTGAAACCACTGCTTATTGAAAGCGAGAATGAATTAGAAATCAATATCAATTGTTTAAAAAACATTTTATGTGAACTGAAACATGACAAAAAAATATTTAGACTTGTTTGCATATCTAATTCACATGCAGTAAACTCTATGATGTGAAAACAATATGTAATGATGTGTTTGTATGAGTTAATACTAATGAGAAAAATATTTTCTTCGGTGCCATCAATATTGTATCATTACCATGATTTATTAAGAAAGAACATAATTATTGATTGATGAATGATACAATACAATATCCGGCATCTAACGTGTTTGTGTATATAACACTTATAGATTAACTTTGTTGTTTATCACTAACGTTGGACGATGGATGCTGCATCCAAGAATATAACAGGCAATGCCGTCTATAACGTCACTTGCCTGTGAATTGTCTAGTAAGCTTTTATTCTTCTACTCTGTAACTTTTATGAGATTAAAACGTATGTTTAAGTTAAGTTAAGCTAGTATCAATTTACTGATTTATATTTTAACCGCTTCTCACATTTAAATTGTAGAAAAATTAAAAAAAATTACATTACAAATATTTTACAAACTTGTAAAGCGACACCTATCTTATACAATGAAAATATTTTGGAAGCAATAAGGAATCAGTTATGTCTATACTGTGTGTGGTTTCATAGTATTTGCTAATATCGGATAACTGTATGATTTTTGTAGCGAAAGATATCTTTTTCATCAATTAGTTTTCCACTGGTGAATGCCATAGGTCAGACTAGAAAGGTCAAGTAACTATATTTTCATTGATGGTTTAATTTTTAACCGAAATCGCAAATGGCTGAGTAAGAGTAATTAAATCACAATTCTTTGTTCTCCTCAAATGATAATAATTGATTGAAATTCATCAATCATCATCAACAGCCTATACTAGTCCACTGCTGAACATAGGCCTCTCCTTAGAAAGGAGGTTTTGGCCTACTATACCACGCTGGCCAGACGGGTTGGTATAAGGTTTGTTTCAAGTTTTCCTTCTCTTTGCAGTGCTGTTGTCCTGCTTAGTTTGCTCCCTTAGTCGGCTTTTACGACACCCACGGGATGAATTGGGGTGGTGACAATTTGTATTCTTAATCCGTCACCACACTCTTGAAATTGAATAACACTAAATATGAAATTGGCTTAGGTGTATTCTAATGTCTTAATGAGTGTTTTTACAGTTTGATCATGTTTTTTTTTTATAATTTCACATTATCTTAAGTTTTTTGATGTCATGTTTTACTTATTTTCATTTTTTAACTTTTTATACGAGTACAATAATTTTTTATACGTATTTTGTACACGATGAACAAATTTTTATTATGATATCTTTATTTAACAAGGTCAATGATTATTAAAAATATAAAACTGTGTTATTGTAATAAAAACTTAGTATCGTATTTTCGAAACGTCTTTAACAATCAAATGTGGGAACTGCACTGAAATATAAATTGCTCCAATATCACAGCAGCATAGAACTTTGTGTAGAATTCTAGTAGGATGAAGGTATGTGGTTTCTATTAAATTAATTGTCATTTACATAATAGCAACTACCTACCCATAATTATATGGCATATCCATTGAGATATGTCATATAATTATTAGAAGTTTCTTAAGAAGCACAAATAGACCGGCTCGACTGAATTAATACCACGGCCTGACAGAAAAGTTGTGTTAAGCATTTATTTCGTTGCTTCTCACTGAGAAGTGAGGTTACCGAAGCCTAAAGCCTATTTCTGGGACAGGAGACTCAAAGAACGGTTACACAGTTTTGAGTCTTGGGTATTCCTATACATTCCTATATATTATATTCCTATACCATTAAGAAAATGTTGTACTCTTATCTAATGAATCTTGGAAACCGATTTCTATATTTTTCTTTAGATGAATATTTTATTATTTAACTATAGGTTTTTATAATTCTACTAATAACAAATACTCTTATTATTATTATTTTTTAATTTCATGAATAGAAACTTTTACAGAATGTGGTGGTGACGGATTAAGAATACGGAGTGTCACCGCCCCTATTCATCCCGTGGGTGTTGTAAGAGCCGACTAAGGGAGCAAACTCTGCAGGACATCAGCACTGCAAAGAGAAGGAGAACTTGACACAAACCCTAAACCAACCCGTCTGGCTAGCGTGGTATAGTAGGCCAAAACCTCTAATCTAAGGAGAGGCCTATGCCCAGCAGTGGACTATTAAAGGTTGTTGATGATGATGAGAGAATTTTACTTTCAACCGCTTGACAAAAATAAATAGAACGATACAGGGTGTGGCGATTCCCACATACAAAGAAACAGAAACATACTACAGCGCCATCTAATGAAGACACACCGAACTACGGAGTAACTACTAAAATAAGAATTGCTAATCCTGTATCGCGATATAAAGAATTCCCTCGCCGATTAGCATATATACAACTTCCCAACATCAACCGTTGGGCCGCGGCCCGCCAGGCATGATTACCTCGTCTGGTCGGAGGATCCTCTTTTTGTGTTGGAGGGACATGACACCCGTTCCTCCACACAGGGTTTAAAAATTAAAATTTTAGTAAACGAAACAAATTGAACAAACATATAAAATTTTGAGGAACTTAGCTCAAAACGTATTCATTACACATCGTGAGCAATGGAATTGGTAATGACTCTGTTGTTCCTTGTTCTTGAAAACGGGCTAAAAGAACATACAACATCATTCCATTTATTTTATTTGCAGAATTACACTCTAATGCAGTTTAGAAACCACGATGAGGCGGTCCGCTCGCCGCCCCTTTCTTTTTTCTTAAGTGGTGAACGTGGTCTGGTTTTAAACTCTGTTCAGTAACCCAATTAAAGCCAGGAATTAAAGAACAGAAAAGAAAAATATTGTGATAAAGTAACTGCTAGCGAATGACTGGATTGCTAATTTTTATAATCGTCTTAAGCTTGTCTACATGGCGTTTACTACAGACATTTCAATAGCGAACCACATCAGCATAAAACTTGAAACAAAATAATTACGAAAAAAAACAAAAACTCAACTGCTTGAGAATGTACAGGTACTTAAAATTCACAAAGGGGCAATTGTAATTTGTATAATTTTCATATACCCCGTGTCACAATTAAGACGGATTTTATGACACTTCGAAACCAAAATCCATGAACTCGTTTAGACTACAGTGCGTGCCAAAGAAATATACGTATATACATTCAAAAACATAATTTTCCTTTTGGCGTAGTCGTGTAAAAAATAAGTAATTTTTAAGATGCTGTGTAATTTTTCACCGGTTTCTATAAATTCAAGCAGGAGCAAGTTTAAGTGCAGGCGATAGATTAAAATAAAAATTATTTGAATCGGTTTCCAAATGGCCAAGGTTTGATATCTTTGCCATTTATATACAGATTCCGAACCGATTATAAAAAAACTTTTTAAACTGATTGAGAGTATCTTCCTTCATAGTAGATAAAAAAACGACGTTGAAGCCATAGCCAATTAACCGCACTTTAGTATTAGTCAAGTTGGCATCCATCACTGCAATGTCAGATTTACGAATGGTTACGATTATTTGTTCAAGTAATAATTGGTTCCCTTCTGTTGGTACAGCAAAAGCTACCACTCTGCCCCTGTTTGTAAAGTGCAAGGAATATTCCAAAGTTATCCTCACAACAACATCTGTCCATTTTGAGAATTTAAAGTAGTAATGCATTATACAAAGCATATATATATATATATAAAGTTCAAATAAATTTGAAGGAAAGATTTGTTTTTCTCAACTTATGTAGGTACAAAGAAGAATTAGTATTTCAATAATTTGTACCGTATTTTTAAAGAAATTCATTCACGGATCCCATGATTCCCTTGTCAATAAATAAATAAGAAACTGGAACCATAAACATGTCGTTATTTATCAAAAGATAGACAGGTGCCTTTAAACTATTTAAAGCTAGTACTTGTAGTGTATATATGCAAATATGCTAAAAATCTCTATAGTTGAAAAACGACAGTAAAGTTTGATAAATTGCATAAAATTTATATGAGAATTTTACTAAGAAAAGAATTTCATGGAACCTAATAAACATGTCAAAGTCCACCGACAGATGGAACATCTGCAATTTCATTAGAAATGCAAAAGGACATAAATCACATTTCAAATGCAGTGAAGCTCACAACCGGGCCGTCCGAGGCGTTCAAAAATTCCAGTCACGCGACAGAATCTACCGCCATTCGCCAGTAAACCTGCCCACTGAAGCAATTTCGATTTATTTTTGGATGAAGGTACGAACCTCTATATTGCTTTTATATTACCCTCAAAATAATTACCAATCCTGAACGTCGATTTGAGAAAAAGGATTAGGCCCACACTTTTACTTAAGCTCGATGTTACAATAACATAATAATTAGTTAAAAATATATAAATATTTAAGGGACAAATTATACTATTTCAAACAAATTATTTCAACTCCATGAATACGAGTGCATTGCCGCTCTTTGGGTGTCCCTGGGAGGGGCCCAAAATTGACTACACTCAGTCGGTGAAAACAAATAAAAGAACTGTTTAACATCGGTTTTACTGTAAGATCATGGTTAAGCTGGCCCACGAGTGCCGAAGCGTTCAAGCTCAGAATACTACCGTTGAATGCAAATGCCGTATAAGAATAATTTGAACTTTTTAATTATTTTATCTTGGCCTATTTTTGTGTCAAAAGTGTTATATATTAAATTATATCACAAAGTGAAAATGAATCAAGGAAAATTACTTTGGCACTATCCGGCGACAATTTCGCAATTAAATTCAAACTTGTGTCGTTTGTATTCGAAGTTATAGACATTGCACACGCTATGGCTCAGTTAAATATAGTTATTTCAGTAAATTCACGGTATCTATCAAAATTGGATAAAGTCATGTATAAAATGATTCATCGAACCATTATTGTCGTTTGTCAGTTTGTCCAATGACTGTGTAGTGATTAGGCTATAAACCTCATTATTTATTATCTAATACTATGGTAATGATAATACTTTTTTTCATGATTGTTTTGGCACAATGATACTTTGCTATAATTTTGCCTAGCAAAGCCATAATGACTTATAGTATTTAGGCATAAAAAGAAGGAAAACTTGACACAAACCCGATACCAATCCGTCTGGCCAGCGTGATATAGTAGGTCAAAACCTTTTTTCTAAGAAGAGGCCTATGGCCAGCAGTGGACTATTAGAGGCTGTTGATTTAGGCATAAATATCAATAGGAATAATGAAAAAGAAAATAGGTTATTTTGAGGTTTTGATAAAATGCATAAAATATCTAGCATTGTGAAACACATTAATTAACACTACATTAATACTTAAAAAAAAGTAGTAATTATGCATTGAATACAAAATAATTTTACCTTCATACTGCATCGGTGGATGCTGTCTTCTTCTGGCCAATAAAGTGATAATCACTATTACTACGAGCGTTCCAGCGATACCAACGATAATTCCTAGTGCCCAGCTTGCATCTACACTGCCTCCTTTGCCGGAGTTAGCACCTGTTAAAAAAAGATTAGGTATTTTGTAGGTCTACGAAAACTTACGAGATAGGTTGGCAGCCTGATCGCTTAAAGGCGCGATTGGGCCCCAAAGAGTGATTCGTGGGAGGAACTTCGGCTTCCCCCCCCCCTTCCCCGGGATAAGGCCTTGTTAGATGAAGCGTCGATTTCAGGGGAGACTTTGCATTCACATGATCCGGGTCCTCCCCAGGGTAAGGCGCCAGAGCCCAATCGTTGCGGTGTTTTTTTAATGGAAACGCCACATGCTCCTGGCTCCAGGATGTCAGGATGACGATAAAAAGGAGCCGTAGATTCGAGATATTTCTCACCCCGTTAGTAACAAAAATCTACAAATACTTAAAAAGTAAACACCATTTTAAACGAAGAGAAGCAATCGGATACCTTTTAGCCCTTCTACGCTTAATGAAAACAAACATTATAGACAGGTAGAATTAGCTTTTTGGTCCAGAAAATTCCTATTGGAGCGGATTTTTTTATTGAAGATCCAACTATCAGGAATTGATTGCAATAAAAATTATAACAAAATTGTCAGCTGAAGTGCCTGTGCTTCTGGAGCGAAAACTAAAGCTCCTACGAAAAAAAAATGCTCCATAGCCCCTTACGCCGTTTTGAGTTACTATTTTCATTTAGATCCGCTCCTTTGTTTCTTTTACCTTCCTTTCTTTCAATACACAAATTTAGATCTTTAAACTCTTATCAAGGTCTTTATCTAAAATAAATAAGTCATAATTTACCTGTGGGCAGAGCCAGTCTTGCCAGAGTTTTTATCCTCAATATAGCGGGTTCTGATCTCCCCCTCGCATTGAAGGCATAAAAAACTAGCTTTAATGTCTTTCCTGAACCAAGTCCTCGAAGTATCCACGCTGGCAAGGGCGTAGAAACATTTGCTATTAGGTTTTTCGCCTCCCAAACTTCCACAAAGTACGACGTGTGAAGACCACCATCGTAACCTAAAATAAAATATTTTTATGTAACGCAATGAAACTGGGAAATCACATAAATATTCAATTTATATTTTCTTATTTTCATTCGCAACGACAACAATTCGAGTAACTTAATTTTCGACAATTGAATACCAAATACCGAAACTTCCGACCGAGGAGGCTTTTTTATTTTGGATTTAATTCTGAACAATGTGCTTTTGTAAGAAACGAAATTACAAAGACAATTATGCATAATTATAGCATTTAATATGTGTAGGACCGAGAATGATTGATAAGCGGAAAATCACATGACAAACCACGGCCATTGAACCCGCTATAAATGGTCAGGCAATGAGGGTTTTCGATACTTTTTCAGCCACCAGACGGCGCTTCGTATGCGTCAGGTCCAAACAGCTGTCAGATAGCACAGATTCTTACCGAACGTATAATATTTCAGCGAAATTCTATGAATTTGGAAGTGTTATTGAGTTTATTATGGATTACGGCCAGAGAAAGGTCGAACTGAAGATTGAGCTCAAAAAGAGAGGCGCAAAAGTTTTTTTTTCACACAAAGGCACTGCACAACACTTTGGCATTTTAAAAAACAATATTCCTTTTGTAATGTTTTTAAGAATGAATAAACCAAAAAAATGATCGAAAAATACAAATCGTGTATGTGTTTTGACAGGTAGTTGGACCTGACGCTACAGTGCTGCCATCTCACGTGGAACATTTCAGAAAACCCTCATTCAATTATTTTTTTATGGTATATATATATATATATATAAATATTAGGTATTCAAACGAGCAGACGGGTCACATGATGGTAACCAACAACCGCCGCCCATGGACACCTGCAACTCAAAAGTCACAAGTGCGTTGCTGCCCTTGGAGTCCCTCCCGCTCGAGTCAGCGGGGGATTTGGGCTCCGGTAACCTCACTCACTAATAATATATGTATATATTTTTTTTCTTAACAAATGACTATTCCCGCACTAGGAATTAATCCTGTGTCGCGGGGGACTTTACAAACATACATGAAACGGACACAAAGAACACCCGGTATCTCAACAACAATTTGTGGATCACACAAAGTGTCGTCCCCTGTGGGAATCGGACCCACAACACTCAGCGTAGTAGTGAGCGACGTGGCGTATGACGTATAATCATAGAATGTGAAAGTTTTAAACTTATAACAAATTACTATGTGTAGTTATAAATATGTAAATCGAACTTTTTTGTTGAATTGAATTTTCTGTGACTCGATGCTTTTGGTATTAAATCTCCTTCGTTACAGTTACAGAGATGCCGGGTAGGTAGGACACATAATTACTATTACTATAAATACTTAAACTGTTGACCTTAATGCTGGTGGTATTTATTAATTATCTTATTTTTTTGATTAAGTTTATTGTTTCTCATCCTTAACATTTATTTTTTATTTAATAACTGCCAGCGATATTACTAATATATTATATATTACATATATTACTAATAACCCATTAAATATCACGGGAATCTATTGTTATCAATATTCACTTATTTAAATGACATTAAATATAATTTAATTATGATTCCATGTGAATAAATTAACTAAAATTATTTCATGAAGATAAAGACGCATACATAAAAACGGGCCTGTTGGTTTAGTGGTTAGTGATCTTAAGTGCTAAATCAGAGGTCATGGGTTCGATTACAGCCCAAAGTAAATAATTGTGTGATGAGTATGATCATTTATTCTGTGTCTAGGTGTAATTTATCTATTGTATAATATTTGTGTATGTATTTAAAAATCTTATATATAAAATTCTCGTGTCCCAATGTTCGTTCCCGTACTCCTCCGAAACGGCTTGACCGATTCTCATGAAATTTTGTTTGCACATCGGGTAGGTCTGAGAATCGACCAACATCTATTTTTCATACCCCTAAATGGTAAGGGTGACCCACCCCTAAATTTTTTTTTAGGCAAAGCAACGTTTGCCGGGTCAGCTAGTATATAAGTATGTTTATCAGCGGTCTGGTTACCACAACACAGGCTCTGCCTACTTTGGGATCATACAGCCGTGTGTGAGATGTGTGAGGTTATTTTTATATTTATTATTAATATTTTTGATGGTGTGGTCATCGTAATGATATTCTAAACATTTTTTAATTAACCACAATACCAGTTTGATGAACAATAGTTTTTAATGATACATCACTAAAGTTCAGAATTGTATTGTTTTTACTTTTCATGTTTTTTATTTTTTGAAAAAAGTTTATAGGCTTATGAAAATACAATTACGTTGGAAGTTTACACCAATTTTCATGTTCATTTTTAATTTAGACTCGCTATGATTGTGTGTCATACTCAAGTTTTATGTGATTATATTGTTTAATTACTTTAACCTGAATTATTAGAATGTCTATCTACATATTGATTTTAGTGTAATACTCATGTTTTAAGTATCCCAAGAAATCGTTTTTAAATACGAAAATACTTACATTCTGAGTAACGACAGACAGATTGTTTTTTTGTCGTGGGGACTTTACAAACATACATGAAACGGACACAAAGAGCACCCAGACTCACAACAATAATTTGTGAATCACACAAAGTGTTGTCCCATGTGGGGATCGAACTTACAACACTCAGCGAAGTAGGATTTATTATTTTATTATTGTATTATTTAGGGCAGGATTTTTAGTTTTATATAGAAATAAAACGAATGTCGAGAACGATTATAAAAGGTAACCAACTTTTGTATTCCTATGAATGCATACAAATACAGACGAAATGAGTATATGCAATGCTTTTAAGTCCACAAGGTACTAATAATGCATCACACGAATAACATCAAATAAATTTCCTATGTACAAAATTCTTATGTACAATGTATGTACTTTAACTTAACTATTACAATGAAACTTTAATGAAACTATTACATATAGAATATATCATCAGACACTATATTACAAAGAAAATATTTCTTATCTTTTCGGATAAATTATTAAAATAAAAAATATATAATGAAATACAGTGAATTATAAAAAAATAGTGCAAAAATAAAAGTTGTAGTTTGAGGTGGACTGGAGCCTAAACTAGGTCAATACCTGTATTTCAGGACTCCAGGATTCACAAAAAATTGTGAGATTTTAAAATAAAATTGAGAAGAAATTCTTAAATTATAGGGCTTACCAGACAAACATCTGATTTCGGCGGAGTCGTCGGTTAGATTAATGGACGTACAGTTGCTAAGTTGATCTGGTTTGACAGCTGGGAGCAAGGAGTACCGACACGGCTCTACTTGCTGTCCTGCCAAGTTTGTGGCTCGGCATGCCAGCGAACCATAGTCTCTTTCAGTTGCAGGAGTATAAGAGAAGACTGACCGCCCCATTGCATCGATGGTAAACTTTTCCTGTTTGACAAGAAAAAAAAAACATTAATGTATGGCCATGCAAAGGGTTTTTTGGTTTCGATTTTGGCATCTCTGTCTCTCTCTCACGTCGAGTTTTTTAAGGCCTTAAGGTAAAGGTATACGCTCCCATTTTAAACATAAGACACTTTGAATTGTATTCGCCAATTTAAGTTTCGAAAAATAGATTTAGGAATATGGAAACAAAAGTTTAGAAACATTGATCTGGGAAGTCTGTGGAACAAGTCATCGTCTGCGGTATTTCCAGACTTTCAAAACTTTAAGAAAAGAACATACTCCTACTTTCATAAAAAACCTAAAAAGTGTTTTATGTATTAAATGAGATGACATACAGGTAGGTAGGTTTCAAGGCTTAAATCTATGTTGATTAAATCGAAGTATATTAAGCATAGTACAATTTCAATTTTTCTGCGTCCTTTATGGAATAATTGAACCTTCCACTTTCTTCGAATAAAAGAAATTTGAATTTATAAAATGAACATACATTTTATTTCGTATTTATTAAGGCGGCCACCCACTTAGTATTTAGCTTCATACTTGACAAAACACTTAAAAGCACTTTCTTAAACCTTATTAAAGTCACATTACTCTCCTGAGTTGTTATTTTTAGAATGAGCATTGAGCGTTTGAGATCAGTAAAAATTGAAAACCTTCTTTATTTTTTATTTATTCATTGCGATTGACGAAGTAGAGGAACGATGAGGTAGGTGCACTTATGGGAAGGTAATCAGTGGGAGAAGAAATAAAATACCAACTATTTGGTCTTAAGATGGACAAATATACGCAGTAATATACTAACACATCACATCAACCGCCTTTAGTAGTCCACTGCTGGACATAGGCCTCTCCTTAAAAAGGAGGTTATAAAAACATTTATCATAATTAACATATGTAAATATCGTCAATTCGAGTATAATTATATATATACTCGATAAATATCTGTAGGTACATATGTTTTAGTAAAATACGATAATTCTAAGTACCTCACATTATCATAAAAAAAAAACTATTCTTGGTAGTGCCTGGTGATGACCAAATTCCTTTGCAATGAGACACAGAGTGCCATAGCAAAAAATGACTTGGTATTGGCATACAAATAGTTATGTGTGTTTTAAAACACAAAGATAGCCTAGCGATTTTAATTCACTTAAAAGTTATGCCTAAGTTGTTTCACAAATTCCACGACACGATACAAACACAATTTGCTCTTTTAAGAGTGCGACCCACGTATAAAAAGTTGAAAAATAAATAGTCCCATGACACAAAGGATTATTCAGGACGAGTGTGGTTCGCATATGCATAAAGTGTACGGAATGGTTTATATTTATAAAAGGATATTTTTATTACAAATAGGGCGAAAACGAAATACGGTTAGGTAGGTCTATTTTTTATATGGAAGAGAGGGCAAACGAACAGACGGGTCACCTGATAGAGAGTGACTAGAGCCGCTCATGAACTCCTGCCACTCAGGAGTCACAAGCACGCTGCCTGCCTTTTAGGAAGTAGTATGCTCTTTTCTTGAAGGTTTTTTTGCGAAATCTGTATTATGTGTGTAAAGTGTCATTCTTCGTCATCGGTACACATATATTTTAAAGCATTCTGTATCGTATTCGTTAATAAATTACTAGAAATTGTCTGGCTGATTCGTTTTGAATGTATTATTTTAGTTAATAACCAGTGTAACTTAAGCTGTAATTGTGTAGACTTTCACATAACAAAGGGTCTTAATAAAAAAAATTAAAGACAATTCCCGCATTAGGAACATGTCCTATGTCGTGGGGGACTTTATAAACATTCATGAAACAGATACAAAGGACACCTAAACTCCGAAGAATAAAGAATTAATTGTTATACACACAAAGTGTTGTGACGTGTGGGGATCGAACCCAGAACACCAAGCGCAGTAGGAAGCTATGAGGTGACCGCTTAAACTACTACGCCATTCCGTAGTCGCATAGTCGTATATTTTTATTGAACTTGTCTTTAAATTATTTTTGACTTTAAACTTTTTACTTTAAAGTACATATTGTTTAAAAACTGTAGCTATTTGCGCTCCTTCTCCATATAAACTTTAACTGTGCAAAATTTCATACTACTCTTCACTTTTGCAGAAAGGGTCGCTTAGTTCTTGAATCGCGTATTAATTTATAGATGAGATAAGATCTAATTTAATCTGATCCATATATGCAACTGTTATTTACTTAAAATAAAGGATAAAAAAAACCACTAGTCATCACTCAGGCAGCAAGGTTTTATACAACTATATTTAGTTCTACGTTCAAGCTAACTTAGGTGAAGTCGTTATGCGTCCAGCTGGAATTGCCCGTTGACGATTTATAGCTCAATAGTTCGCCTAGAAAGCTGTTATTACTTTCCTGTAGGTACTTATGGTAAATGAACTATTTATATTTACTAGAGATCGCCTCAATCGAATTTCCACGTTTTACATGCCTTGTTTTATTTAATTTACCAGTATAACTTGAACTGTTATTATATAGACTTTTGTGCCATCATCAACAGCCTTAAATAGTTCAGTGCTGGATAAAGGCGTCTCCTTAGAAAGGATGTTTTGGCCTATATACCACGCTGGTCAGACGGGTCGGTATAGGGTTTGTTTTAAGTTTTACTTAACTTAACGTGCTCCCTTAGCCGGCTGTTAAGACACCCACGAGATGAAAAGGGATGATGATTTGTATTCTTAATCCGTCACCACAAGAACTCGCGCCATGACAGATCAAAATACAAGTTTATTATAGACCTCAATAGTTACATGTGGTCGTTTTAAAATCATTTTTAACTTCATGTAAAATATGTTTTTTTTTAAATGTGCGCTTTTTCTACATAACTATAAACTTTAAACATTCGAAATATGGTAAGCTTCAGTGTAATCAATTCAACAAATAAAATCATACTTGCAAAAACATACCGACGCGTAGAAGTAATTTTTTTTTTATATCCGATAATCGCGTAGTCGATTCTGTCAGTAATTCGAAGACTGAAATATATAATGAGCACTACCAATATATTATAATAGTACCCAGAAACTAATTTAATATACTTCAGTAACAGCTCACGTCAAGGTTTATTAATTATAGCACTTTCCTCAAATTTCCTTAAATGAAAAGCATACGTACGTGTATTGTAAACAATACAGCAATATTGCTCGTATTACTAATATTTGGAACAAAATATCAATAACTCTAATTGTTTTTACCGAAATTGAAAATCAGTGAATTTAAATAAATATTTTATATTCATGTTTACTTATTCAAAACATTAAAATACAATCCAAACCCCATGTGGGGTATCATAAGTGTTAATACAGTATTTCATAGTACATAGAGGTAAAACACTTGTATCTGAGTGCTAAATTAATATGAGGGGCTTGCTTTGGGCACAACGTGTGACTATCAGATAGAAGGTGGAATAATAAACCAAAATAGTTAAAAATGTGCGAAAGAAATCTGACGGTTCCCCGAATAGTCAGGTTGCATACTCAAAAATTTGTGAAAGACACTATAGTATAAATAACCATGTAAAGTATAGCTTTTAGTCTTATTAGCTGGTGGTACAGGACAGTCGCTTCCTTCCCCACGTCAATTCAAAATTGGCGTTATCGATTCCATGATTTAAATCATTCATCACAAATATATGTGTTTAGCTAAACTTTCTGTACAATTTTGAACTTAGTCTAACACCAGTGATTTAAGTATTCAGTTACAATTTGCATATAAATGTTGATAGTAAAGTTAGTTATACTCACGGCTTCAATTTCCAAAGTTCCCATGGAATTATTAAGCGTCCACTGGAAGTTCTTCGGCGGCGGAAAGGCGTCCACTTCGCATACAACTTTAGTAGGTTCATTTATCGCGGCACCTACTATAACTGTTGTTGTTATTGTACATACTGGTTTATCTGAAAAATATTTGTTAATTATAGTATGCTAGAAAGATACATCTGTAGTCAACTTTTAATAATTAGTCTTTGTGGTTTGACTGTCTCGGTGGTGCAGTGGAAGCGTATGCGACTGCTATGCTGTCTCGGGTTCGAATCCCGGGTCGGACCAAATGTTTGTATTATCTGCAAATATTTTTTAGGAGGTTGGGTGTTTTCTATGTAAAATATGTATGTAATTACGAAAAAAAAGTATATAAGTATTCTATCACTCAATAGTATAGATACATATATACACATCCATATTATTCTACTCTTTTTTTTTTCCGTGCTGATATCCCTTCGGATACCACCTATCGGTGGCATGTCGGACACGAACCGACTAAAACCGCACGCCGTCTCGGGTACTAATAGCCGGGTAACCAGGTATACGCTAGAAAGGAAGTCCCTGGTGCCCCGACATACCTCGGGCCATCTACAACAACAGGTTGACGACCCCCTCGTGTGGAAACCCCATGTTCCCTCTACTCCCTGGAAGCGAGCGCGCTTCGCAACGCGCTCGCCGCCACCCCGGCCTGCTTCTGCTAGGGTGACAGATGGCCTCACCAGTCACCCCAGGCCTGCGCTTATGGAGGACGGAGGTCGTTCTGCGACCTCCGGCGCCTGAGTCGCCTGCGGCACCGGGCCCGTTCTCGGGCCTGGCGGGCCGGGAGAGTCCTAAACCTCTCTCGGTCCCGCTCCGCCGTCTCCTTCGCGAGCGTAACTTGCTCGCAGAAGGAGACGGCAGAGTTCCGAATTAAGTTCCGAGTATTCTACTCTATAAATAAATATTGTAAGAGTCGATTTACATAACAAATAAAGCAGAGCATATAGTACCTTTAACTTTATGATTCACAATATGATAAACTCCTGAGTATATTTAAGTATATAATATTATATTACATTTCAGGAATGAAACAATTAACATTCAGTAACCTGTTTGAAATGTTGTCAATAATTTTAAACGACCACGGTACACAAGCCACATTTGGCAGTTGTAGGCGATGTTGTTATAATTAAACTTTTCATAGGCATAATACAAGCACCATTGAATTTTTTGTAAATTACTCAAATAGCAAAAACAATTCACAATTTCAGTTTTTGAGCAATTTAATATTATAAAAACTATAATTTTTGTTTCAAAAATATTGAGTTAATTTACTATTTATTTTTTTCATGTGAAGAACATGCTAGTAGTACCTAAACGACAGTCAAGTATTGAAGAACTGGGCTTTATCGTTGCGAAGTAGTATCTAACCATGGAAACATTAGAGGGCCGAGTAAAACATTTATCTCAAGGGAAAGGAGTATTTAGTACTCGAGAAAGCAGAAATACTCGACTACGTTATGCAGGCTAAAAAGTAAAAATTTGAAGTTCCAGTAGCATTTCATGAATTAAATTAATTAAAGGTCTTGTCAGTTTTTAGGACCTCTTTAAGGTTTTACTGTCACTAATATAAAATCTCATTGGCTTGATTAATGAAAATGTCATTTAAGATAAATTTGAGACCCGTCTTATAGAAGACTATAACTTGACAATGTCTTTTGTTGATTATTAAATATGATTGAAGTATTAGATTAATGAAAGGTCTGGATATTTCTAATACCCAATTTAGAACAAATTTGCAACAACCTTGCGAAAAAAAACCATACAAAAATAAAACTCAGTTGTATTTATCCAATGATAATAACAGTAAATATTATACATAAATACTTGTAAAATTTGTACATGTGCCTAAAAAACTCTCCATGATGGATAGATATTTATTCTTTTATATGCAATGTAACATAATATTCCCATAGTGAGGGCAGGTTTCCTATTCATAACATATTGAATGGACGTACTATTATGCTAGTAGGTTCTTTTCATTCCATTCGGGGAATTTACGTTCAATGTAATATATAGAAATATTAGTTATTTTATTAGCATTATATGTGTGTAGATGGGTTTTAGTTTCTAACTTACTAAGTGGTGATCGATCTTATTGCTTTAATAATAATAATAACTTCACACATCTCACACACGGTCATTCGATTCCAAACTAGGCAGAGCCTGTGCTATGGTAACTAGACTGCTCATAAACATACTATTATATTTCTCAATACGTACGTATTAGAGATAAATTACACCAAGACACAGAACAAATAAATCATCGTACTCACTATTTGTCCTGGTTAGGAATCGAACCCACGACCTCCGACTTAGGCAGCAGTCAGGTTCAATAACCACTCGACCAACAGGCCCGTCAAACGGCTATGGACGCGTACACGTAGTGTTAAAGAAAAAAATCATTACCGTTATCTGATAATAATAGTATTATTATTATAATAACTAAACTTATCTATATAATTTGCAAATTTTATAGATCCATATAAGTTGTTATTTTTGTTAGAATTTAGAAGTTTATAAATACAGGGGTGTTTTGATTTCTAATATCAATTTTTTTTTGTTCTCAATAAATATAATTGTTTTAATATAAGAAAGAAACATGAGACAGTTTCAACTAGATATTAATTTAATTGCTTATAGATGTCATTATGCCTCTATGTTTTACTCGTATAAACACAGGAGAATATAAAAGACAAATGCCATTCGATTTGGTTTCAGAGATTCATTACCAACATGACATTTGAATTGTTATTCAAAAAAAAAACTACGTGAACGCTACATTTACTCTGTTACACTTGGCAGTTTCGGAACGTCACCAATTTATAAACAATTGCATAGTTCTCAGCTGACTTTGTCATTAAATGGTACGGTTAAATGGCACAATCGAAGAAACAGTACATGAAATAAACAAACAGTATTATATAAACACTTGAATACTTGTATCTAGACATGTATTGGTAGAAGTTACTCAAAAAAGTGACCTCACAATTTACTTAAGTAAGGAAATCGGTGGACTGATCACATTATTGACATTTCATTGTAAGAATCAACAGCAACACCTTATAATAATATATTTCTATTAGAAACATCGATCTATCATGATTTTAGCATTCTCAATCCAATGAAATTATTTCACTATTCCACTTATCTACATCTACATTGATTATAGAACATACAATTCAATTCGATTTTATCAGATCAAACCTAATTAGTAGGAAACACTGAAGAGAATAAACTAATAACATTTAATTTTATGTAAATGAGAGGAAAATGATATTTTGAAATGGTTTTATACTAAAGTGGAGTAAGCTGCGCTGTTGCCACAGTTTCTTAGCAACAATCAGTCTTAAAAAGGAGGGAGCATTTTGAGATCTGAAGACACTATTCATTGCATGGTCACACAGTTATATGTCCGTATAAGGTTTTTCAGTAATACTTAAAAAAAAACAGAAACCCTAACATACTAGTGGTATATGGAAGTATTCCTTGCACAAACAATTCACCTCAGTCAGTGGGGTAACAATGATACTACCAATGTGTGACCTACTTTATTTCGAGAGTTCGAAAAAGTAAAATTAGGCAGGACAATTTAACCTTTCATGCTTTTAGAAATGTACTTTTTGTGACTTGTAGAATTAGGAATGAATTTGCAGAAATAAAATGAACATTTTCTCTTCATTATTTACTATGATCACACATATTAACACTAACTGAGCTTACTTAGTCCTGATACCTTTTCATTTAAATGACAAGATTTTATTGCACTTGCAATGTTTTTATGAATGTAAGTAAAATTCCGCACGAACCTTGGGAGCTAAATTAGAACCACTTCACGATGTCCGATTAGGTTCAAATTATATTGATCATGATAATACAATAATATGGTATCATGGAGTTGTTCTGATGACGGAGTCGGAGTGCGGCCTTCGGAACTTTTTAACCCAACAAGATAAACCTATCGAGTTTGGGTTCAATTCTTTTGTTTGATGAGTACTTTGGTGCTACATTGTATCCAGGGTATATAAGAGCTTGTTTTAGTGTTTTTTACAATTAACTTATTCATTTTAGCATAGTCATAGACTTGATCATTTCATTCTGTTAGTAAAGCACGTCATTTTTTTAAATGTTCTGTCTTAAAAAAAATCACAATAAAAACAAATTACATAAGAAACATACATTTAAGAGATAATAAACAAGAGTTTTCTACCACATCAATCATATTTATGCAATGTTTTTTTTATTTATGTCAGTAAATGTGTGTATAAAGCATTTTGACAATGTATGGTACGCAGTCTATTGAACACAGCAATATATCACAGGATAGCCCATTCCATTTGTGTTTCAGATATTGACAGTCATGAATTAAGCGTTTACGTTATGTTTGTATTTTAAAAACATTTTCAGGACATTATTTTGATATTAAAACATTCATCCATCGTCATATTATTATTAGGCAAAAAGGAAAATACGAATCCACCTGTATATTACCAACTAAATAATATACCACTGTAAAAGCAACCTATGTATTAATGTGTTCTTTGTGTCCGCTTCATGTAAGTTTGTAAAGTCCCCAGCGACACAGGATTTATTCCTAATGCAGTTTAAAAAAAAACTAGGTACTAAACTCTTTGTGTGCTACAACGGATTTAGAAGTTTTATTTAGATTAACCGTTTGGCCATTTTTGCTTGCGTAAACACTAACACGCATCTATCAATCCATCCGACCATATTTGATGGCCGATGCTTTTTTTTTTGTTACGACAACTCCCGCATTTGGAATAAGTATATCCTGTTTCGCGGGGGACTTTGCAAACATACATGAAACGGACACAAAGAACATCCAGACTCAGAACAACAATTTGTGGATCACACAAAGTGTAGTCCCATGATGGGATCGGACCCACCACACTCAGCGTAGTAGTAAGCGGCGTGGCGACCGCTTAAACCACTTAAACAATTTATTTGTAATACTAATTATTATTACAAATAATTATATTATAGTAATATTTATATAACAATTCTATAAATATTACTAAAATTAGTAATTACAAAGGAAATAAATTGATGGTCGATGATGAATAGATGAGAATGT